TATATATATATATATATATATATATATATATATATATATTACTATTTGGAAGAACAAGCATTTGTAGAAATGTGCTCTCATGTTAAACTTGAAAAAGTGCATTGTTATAAATGCCAACAGGGTGAAACTATGTTGTTACTTTACGATTTTAACCCAAAATACATTGTTACAAATACTAAAAGAAGGAAGTATGTTAGCCTGACGGCATAACACATTAAGAATTGTGTAATTAAAAAGTTGTTTAAACTTTTAGCCTTTAAACTATCTTCATCACCAAACAATCATTAAACAATTGTCAATTTTTGCTCAATCTTCATTTACAATTGCAAACATGGATGTGCCAAATGGGACAACAATGAAGGCCATTCTTACGGTAAGTAATTTTATTTTATGTTATTTTTTTTTTAGAATTTGAAGTAATTTGTTACTGTGTGTTGTTGTGTGTAGTCTCTATAATGCATAATGCATATGATTCTTCCATGCATTCTATTTTTATTGTCAATTTATTATCTTTAAAATCCTTTTTGATTAGACATATTTTGTCTTTTTTTTTGTTTTTTATCTTTTGTCTTTTTTTTATCTATTATTATTATTATTATTATTATTATTATTATTATTATTATTATTATTATTATAATAAGGAAATTACTTTTATTAGATGTCTTTTTAATAGTCTGAATGAAAAAATAACATAGTGATAATCTTAACAAAAAAATAAAACAAAAATACCCTGATTTAATATATATATATATATATATATATATTATATATATATATATATATATATATATATATATATATATATTCTAAACAGAAAATTCAAATTAGCAAACGGTGCACAAAATTTAATGGTATTTACAACCGGCTTAAGGTGCAACAACAAAGCGGAATCAATGACGTGGATTTGTTCAAACCTACAAAGTAACAATATCGGGTCGAGATGGGATATATGTTTGAGTTATAGAAAGTGTGAGAGCTTGTGCAATTTGATCTAATGTGGAATAAAATTCCTACATCGTAGTCAAATGTTATGTATTAGGTTTAATTAATGTTGTCTTTAATTGTTGTTTTTATTTTAATCTTAATTTTAGTTTTTAAAAATTATGTCGTTTTTTTTAATACTATGATTTATAAAATATATTTTATTTATATATTATGTTTTATTTAAAATATATTATTATTTTACAACAAAAATAAAATCGGCGAAAAATAAAAAAGAAACTCAAAAAAGAAAAGAAAAGAAATTTTGACATGGAAAAAAGTTGGCGTTGCATCTTGTTATAATATGGTGACCATTTCCTCAGTTGGTGTTATAACAACATTGTTTATGTGGCATGTAAGATGACACCAATTTGGTGTTATGACTAGTTACGCACATCTAATGCTCCAAGGGAAGTAATTCATACACAACAATTTTTATCAATACATAACATTTTATGCTTAATACAGTTGTATAATACAATATTTTAAAACGCAAATTGTTATGTTTGAAAAAATTTGTTGTGCACAAAATATTAGGTAGATAATTTATTTAGTTGTATACTACGTGTAAGACCTATGTATTACATGAGTTAATTAAGAAAAATATAAATGTCTAAATATTTAAGAACTTTGAATTTATAAGAAAATAAAAAATAAAAAATTATTAAAATTGATTTTTTTGAACTTTTAAATTTCAATAAATCAACAAATAAACTAATGAACTTTAATTTGAGATTTTTGAAATAAAAAGGTAAGTTCATTAATGAAATTGATATTCATTTAAATTTCTTAGCGAGATCTTTGGTCTCAAGTGATGGGTACATGAATGGAGCTGAGCATTTGATGATGAAAATAAGGAATATGAATCTGGGTTTGATTGATTGACTTGTGGATATAGATTTCTATAGGAGTGTGACATCATGTTTGATTGTAGTTGTAGGTTTTCAAGATTCTAGGGATATTGTTGACTCACATGCTTACTTGGCACTTGACAAAGCAGTGTTACCTTCTAATGTGGGTAAAAGTACCAAAATGACCGGTAAAATACAAGTTAATACTCTTTAAAGGCAAAAAAATCATGAGAGACCATTTAAACCATTTTACTAAAGATTGTTGGGCTACAATGTCAAATACCTTAGTTGTATATGCATTAGATTCCATAATTTATGGGATTGAATATTGAATCTTTAGGTTTTAATGGGGCAAAAAATAAGTAGAAAATGTACCTTAAAATGTTTTAGGTGCTAATAAAATCACGGGGTAATGACTTAGGGGGGTAATAATGTATCCTCTTTGTCCATTTTAGGTCCCTAACGTATTTTTTGTGCGTATTACAACATTAAGGTTGTTATAACCGTTTACAAATAGTCCTTTCTGATGAAGTGATAATAAAGCGTGAAACAAATCAGAGTAACAAAAATGTATTATGAACACGAGAAGTAAATATAATTTGGTTTCGATTCAATTATGCTTTCAAAAGTTTTACAGAGAGAAGAATAGACAAGTTCTGTAAAGACCCTTCTCTAACTCTAAGTAATGTCTCTATTTATAGAAGACATGAAAGCGTACAAAAAACACTAAGGCATAGACATTAGGCTTCGTACAAAAGACACCTTAGTGAATAAATACGAAATTACAATACAAACATTTCGACTCTTTACAATATTTCGACCCTAACAATCTCCCCCTTTGTAAATGAGTCGAACTTCTTGATTCGTGAGTATCTATATAGCAAATAGCATCACCCTTCGAATTTCTATGTACCAAGAAATAATTCTCTTTACCTCCTTCTTATCCCCTTCATTATTCTTCTTGTAGTTGTTCATATGAACAATAAAGTTCATATACTAGGAAGTAGTATACCTTTCTACTTTGCTTGCTTGGAACAAAAACCTTTTAGCTTTTCCACTCTTATCTTTTCCTGCGAAGACCATTCCAAATGGCTTTAAGCAGATCTCCCCATCTGCATACTTCTTCAATTCTGATTGAGACTTTGTTGGTTCCATTGGAGCTTTCACTTCTAATCCCTTTGTAATTGCTAACTCAACATCAATAAGAGCCAAACATTCATAGTAATTGTCTATGAATATTTTGATATGAGCAACTCCAAGTCGATAAACTTCTGGATCAGTTTCTCGAAGATACGAAGCATTTTTATCTTTTAAGAGCAATGCAACTTGTATAAAATCATACAATTTCATCAAAGGAAATTCAGCCACAGTAAAATCACATACTTGCCCATTCGCTCTTGTCACATAATATCGAAGATTCTACATCATGTTCTCGAACAGAACATCCTTCTTAATGCTTATTACCTTCTTTATTTTCACCAAAGACCAAATTTCCTCTGGAGCTTTTCCAAGAACAACATGAAATCGAAGTTTCATGTACTTATATTCATCTTCAATCTTAAACTTCTCAGCAATCTTGAACTGAGGCATTAAGAACATCATTTTGTTTATTGGGAAATCAAGTTGGCTACCACATAGCTTTGTTTTGGTTTCTTCTCAAAAGCATACATGTGGTTATAAGCCACTTTTGCTTCAATGGTCTCATAGTTATAATGTTTGCCTGGATCTCCCTTGTCCAATCCAGGTGGATCACTTTCACGTTGGCTCATTATACTTGGAATAATTCTCAGTTTCTCCATTTCTGCTTTAGCTTCAGCTTTCTTTTCTTCTTTTGAATTTTCAATTACAAATGTTTTCCCTTTGTCTTTGATTGTTGAACTATCAACAACATCCTTTAGCTTCGAACTACTACCACCAGCAGATGAACAAATCACAATCCCTTTGAATTTGGCCTTGTAATTGGGATTTAGGTTACAACAGTTGAAGTAACTGGCCCAGCAGAAGAAAATTTTCCATCAACCTTAGCATCTTCATGCGAAGCTTCACTACCAGTCTTCACACCACCAACCTTCATTTCTCCCCCTTGCACCCCTATGACAACATGAGGGGCATCGATTGGTAACAAGCTTGAAATGCGAGATAAATGAGCTAACTGCTTTTGAAGAATTGCTTCGAATTGAGTAAACTTTTGTGATAAAAACTCTGGAGTGATTAACGAAGAATAACTAGACTTCATGAGCAACCCCTTCAAATCCTTTAACTGAGAAGTAATCTCAGTTAAATTATTCATTTCTTGAGTTGACAAATTAGTAAGCTAAGGACTGATGGCTTCGTATACTTTCACAAATTTTGTCACAGCATCAACAATTATGTCAACTTGCTGATTTAACGAAGCATAATCCTTTTGCACCACTTCAATCTCCTTAGCCATATCCTCACGAAGATACTGAAGCTTGAAATTAACATCTTCTCTGACCTTCTTCACATCAAGAACAAACAACGTATGTCTTTCTTTTGAAACATGTTTCAAGTCTTTTACTTCCCATATAAACTTCGAAATATGAGAGTTCACATGTAACTCATTATTCTGATCAGAATGGTCCACCTTCTCTAAGATTCTATACTTTGAATCTTTAATCATGCCAGACACTTTACTAACCATCCTGGCTTCAAACCCTTTCAATAGACCATCAATCTCCAAACTTGAAACATAACTACTTCCCCCCATATCCGCTTGAGACTGAATAATAGAATTCAACTTTTTATTCGGAGTTTTAAATTGCATTATCGACATGAGCATGTGGTCACGAAAGTTTTCTTCTTCCTCATCAAATTATAAATCTTCGAAAGTTCCTCCAAAACTTGTATCTTCATTTTTAGAATATTCAATAGGTGTGAGTGGCTTATCTGATTGTGGTGGATCAGTAGATTGTGAAGAAAACAAGGTAGTGAATGGTTGATTAAGTATTTGAGTAAAATTGGGTTAGGAAGTGACAGGAGGATTGGGTATGATATATGGAGGTAGAGAAACAAGAGGACTAGTAACAATTTTGATAGGAAGAATAACGGGAGTACCTTTAGTAGATTTTGTGAGTCTTTATTCAAATCTCCTTCATCCATAGTGACATTTACATTCATATTAGATACGTGTGTAGTGATGTTTGAAGTTCATGCCTCCTCATGAAATAACTTGGCATACGAAACTTCATGTGGTATGACTGTAGTCCTCTCAGGAGATGAAGGTTTTGTGATAAGAATTTCTTTGGGAGTTTCAAGAATGACTTCGTCTTCTTCAGTAGATTCTTCTTGAATAACCAACTGTCGTGTCCTTGTCTTCGTCTTCTTGGATATACACTTAGCCATATCTTCAGCTCATCATTTCTTTAATAACGGACACACAGGAACTGGAACTTCATGAACTAAAACTCCATAATGAGTAACGTGGTGTTTTCTAACCACAGATGAAGTTGGAGATTTTCGTGAACCAACAGACTGCTTGTTGAGCCTTCGAAATACACCAAATTTTGATGGAATAGTGATCTTAGCTAGTTCATCAATAACAGGCTCTGCTGACTCGATCACAACAGTCAAAACATGTTCTTCTGGCTTCATTTGTTTCTTTGGTGACTTTGTTTTCTTTGACTCCTGAATAGGTTTCTTGGGAGTAATTGTTACATTCTTCTTTGATTTCCTTGATTTCTTAGAAGGACCTGCTTCATTCTTTGATAACAACTTCCCTGTTTCAACATTAGGATTAAGGGTCTTCAAATACTCTACTAAGACAAAGTTAGTAAGATCAACACATTTCAACACTGCATCAGGAATTCGAGCAATGGTCGTGAACACATCAGCATCATTTGTAACTTCTTTAGGAAAATGATACTTCAAGAATTCAACAGTTTCTTCCTCAGCAAGCACCTGAATCCCTTCTTTATCACAAACATGACGAAGAATCAAACTTCAGTATCTTGCACAATAGATTCCTTGAACGACATTAGTGTTCTCAACACTTTTCTGGAACTCCTTCGACATCTGATTTGAATAATCAACATTAATGTCGTAATATAAACCAACAACTATCGCATAAACCTCCATTCTGATGGGTTTTGAGCATTCTAACACTTCCTAAGTGTACATGCAACCCTAATAACCTTGGATCTATGTTTGTCTAATTGTCATGCAAAGTTGAATTCCAAGGTTATATTCCTATCTAGCATACATGGGGAACAATTTTATCATAAAGTATAGATAGAATAACTTACCTTGTTGTTGTTTGTGTTCCTTGAAACCTTGTGAGCCTAGCACCCAAAGTGTGATGCCTCAAATGCTTCACACAACACCAAATGATCTTGGAAGAACTTATGAGAGAACACACACTCTTCAAAATTGGCCAAGCCCTCTTGTTTCTTAGTGTAACAGATTTTAGGTGGAGAACATGTTACTTATATAGTGTTGACACATCTAGGGTTAAACCCTAATGTGTCATGACTCTTCATTTCCATGACCCATGGGTTTGTAACTCCCATGGAGCATCCATGGAGCATCCTATGGGTGGAACCCAACTTGATAGTCCATGGAGCCTTTTAGCCCACTATACAAGATATGGATGATTTACATAATCAACCCATATATTTAATTAGTTATCTTTTGATCACTTAATTAATTCTAAATTAATTCTTGATCAAACTAATCAAATAATATTATTAATATATTAGAACTTATAATATATTAATAATCTCCAAGTGTTATTTCTCTCATTTAGTCTATCCAATTGCATGGTGCCATGCAACCCAAATGGACCATGCCGGGTCGGGTCAAGTACATACCAGAAATAGTTATGGACTTAGACACCTTATCCAACAGTCTCCCACTTGGATAAGTCTAATAACTATTACTGCAAGTATGACTTCAGGAACCGATCGGCAATCGTAGCTCTTTCAAGGTTTCTCGAAACTGAGAAGATGATGGTACGCCATTTAAGATAAGTGATCATATAATCCTCTGTTCTAGATATCAGTCGGACAAATACATGGAACAATGTCTTACTTATTGTCCAACAATTTGTTTCCCGATTTCCGATTTGTTTGACAAAGAACTTCATTGAACACATCAATTTAGTTCTGACCGGGCCCGGTACATAGGTCAAAACAAAATCATCGAGGGGCCCAGATATCAGCTTCTAATCCAAGAAGGAACAGATAAACTTCGACTCATATGTTTGTTCTACTACTCATTGAATTACACACAAGAGCGCGATTTTATAACATCGAGTTACCAATGCGTTTTTCGTACAATCAATGCATAACCAACTTGTAAGTAACAAATCATATCTCTAGGTTTAAAGACTTATATGATATTACCGTCTCACGATCACTCGAGATAGAATTCCATGAAGTGATTCCAGTGAGCGTGGGTTGAGTCCAATGCTCAGAACTTATGAGCACTCATGATTGTTGTAGCCTTGTCCAGACCTCTACAACCAAACATGACAGTCTTGATTCATACCTACTTCCGACATATGACCGACTGTGGAGGTTTGAATAATATGTTATACCAAACAAAATTATTCTGGAAGTCAAAACATGCAAAAGAAATATAGTAAACGATCGACAAGAGATAGCAACACTTTACTCATAAATAAAACACTTTTATTCATCATCAAATGTCAATTACACTTTACAAATTTCGAGTTATCTAACTACTAAATCTAATATCATCCTTCAGCCCTATGCTCCGAGCATGCTGGAGATGCTTAACCCGAGTCAGTCCCTTCGTGAGGGGATCTGCCGGATTCTCATCTGATGATACCCTCTTTGCCACGAGGAGTCCTTCTTCGATCCGATGTCTGATGAAATGGTATTTTCTGTCGATGTGTCTGGATCTCCCGTGATCCCTTGGTTCCTTGGCTAAGGCAACAGCACTTTCACTATCACAGAAAATTTCCATTGGCTCTTTAATAGCTGGTACAACTCCAAGGTCTCCAATGAAGTTCCTCAGCCATAACGCCTCCTTTGCCGCCTCGCTAGCTGCAATATACTCTGATTCACAAGTAGAATCTGCCACTGTCTCTTGCTTGGAACTCTTCCAAGAAATTGCTCCTCCATTTAGGGTAAAGACCCAGCCCGACTGAGAGCGGAAGTTATCCCTATCAGTCTGGAAGCTAGCATCACTATACCCTACAACTCTCAAGTCATCACTCCCACCGAGGGTAAGGACCCAGTCCTTAGTCCTTCGTAGGTACTTGAGAATATTCTTTACCGCAGTCCAGTGTGCCTTGCCAGGGTTCCCCTGAAACCTGCTAACCATGCTCAGGGCAAAAGCTACATCAGGTCGAGTACACGTCATAGCATACATGATCGATCCTACAGCCGAAGCATAAGGTACTCGACTCATTTGTGCTATCTCAGCCTCAGTGCTAGGGCTTTGTGTCTTACTCAGTTTGGCGTTACTCTGGATGGGCAACTCTCCTTTCTTGGAGTCTTGCATTCTGAATCTCTTCAGAACCTTCTCCAAGTAGGTACTTTGACTAAGTCCAATTAGTCTTTTACTCCGATCTCTCAAGATCCTTATCCCCAAAATATAGGCAGCTTCACCAAGGTCCTTCATAGCGAAACACTTTCCAAGCCAGGACTTTACTTCCTGCAGGGTTGGAATGTCGTTTCCTATGAGTAGTATGTCATCCACATACAATACCAAAAAGCTAACTATACTCCCACTAGCCTTGACATATACACAAGATTCATCTTCACTCCTAGAAAAGCCAAATTCCTTGACCTTTTCATCAAAGCAAAGATTCCATCTGCGAGGTGCTTGCTTTAATCCATAAATGGATTTCTCAAGCTTACACACTCTATTAGGGTACTTGTTGCTGACAAAACCCTCTGGCTGACTCATGTAAACATCTTCAGCCAACTTCCATTAAGGAAAGCGGTTTTGACATCCATTTGCCAAATTTCATAGTCATGAAATGCGGCTATGGCTAACAGAACCCGAATAGACTTAATCTTGGCTACCGGAGAAAAGGTCTCATCATAATCCACTCCAGGAATTTGAGAGAAGCCCTTTGCAACCAGTCTAGCCTTATAAGTGTGTACTTTACCATCCATGTCGGTCTTCTTCTTGAAGACCCATTTGCACCCTACAGTCTTTCGACCTGGTACATTCTCAACCAAGTTCCAAACTTGATTGTCATACATGGATTGTATCTCGCTATCCATAGCCTCTTTCCATTTAGCAGACTCGGGGCCTGCCATGGCTTCCTCGTAGCTGTTAGGGTCATCTTGACTTACTAGTGTCCATCACTAATAAGTGTCTCACCTTCTGCAGTAATATGGAATCCATAGTAATGCTCAGGTGCACTCCTAACTCTCGTGGAACGCCTCAGAGGTACAGATTCGTCAATTGGCTCAACAGGAGTTTCCTCCTCAAGTTGAGGGCTAGAGTTTGAAGTTCCTTCACCACTTGACTCTTGAATTTCTTCAAGATCAACTTGCCTCCCACTGTCTCCTTGGCTTATAAACTCTCTTTCTCGAAAGACTCCTCTTCTTGCTACAAAGACCACATTGTCACTAGGTCTGTAGAAGAGGTAACCAAAGGATTGCTGTGGGTAGCCGATGAAAATACACCTCTCGCTTCGGGGTTCGAGCTTATCATGAGTCTCGCGTCTCACGAAAGCCTCGCAACCCCAAATCTTGATGTGGTCTAGTTTAGGTACTTTACCAGTCCACATCTCGTGAGGAGTTTTGGCAACTTTCTTTGTAGGGACTAGATTAAGGATATGGGCGGCAGTCTCTAAGGCATACCCCCAGAATGAGATTGGTAGCGAAGCTCGACTCATCATGGAACGAACCATGTCCAACAAGGTTCGATTACGCCTCTCAGCCACACCATTCAACTGCGGTGTCCTGGGAGGTGTCAATTGTGAGACAATCCCACATTCCCTTAGATAGTCGAGGAACTCTGAACTAAGATACTCACCACCCGATCGGATCGAAGCATCTTAATGTTCCTGCCCAATTGATTCTCGACTTCCTGTTTAAATTCCTTAAACTTCTCGAAAGTCTCTGACTTATGCTTGATTAAGTAGACATATCCATATCTACTGTAATCATCAGTAAAAGTCAAATAATAACGATTAGCATCCCTTGTGGCATGTTTGAATGGTCCACACACATCCGTGTGTATAAGGTCCAACAAACCTTCACCCCTTTCACACGAGCCTGTGAAGGGTGACTTTGTCATTTTTCCAAGTAAGCATGATTCGCAACTATCATTTGACTTTAGGTCAAACGACTCCAAGACTCCATCCTTTTGGAGTTGGCCTATGCGTTTCTTGCTTATATGTCCAAGACGACAATGCCATAATGATGCTTTATCCAAGTTATTATTATTAGTAGAATCAATACACAAAACATTATTTCCTAAGTTATCTACAACAGATACAGCTTCATACACACCATCACAAGGTAATGCTTTAAAATAAAGAACATTATTAAAGAAAGCATTAATCGAACCAACTTCATTATCAAACGAAAAGGTGAAACCTTGTTTGTACAATGCATGAAAGGAAATAATATTTCTTGCCATTTCTGGCGAATAACAACATTTATTCA